GCGCGTGTGCCCGTCGGTTACTACCGTGCGCCGCACCATGGCGGGAGCGTCTCAAACCAGCCGGTGGGATTTCGCCTCCGCGTGGAAGATGACGCCGGCAGCAGCAAATGGGAGGATTCCCTGTCGTCGCATGGAGGCTCAACTGTGACAGTGCGGCCGTGCGTTGCGCCCCTCCGCCGGCACCGTCCGCTGAGTGAGGATGCGAAACTTAGTGGTCCCGGCCAAAGCGAGGACCTTTTCTTGGGTGGGCGCCGCGGCGTGTCGTGGCGTCGCCTGCTGTCCCCGCTGATCCCGGAAGTGGGCATTCGTCTGCGTCGTCAGCGCCTCGGCGGGCTTTCTGAAGTGTGGGCGGCAGGCCCCAGCGCAATAGACGGAGTTCTTGCGTGTGCGGGGCTGGACGCAGCACAACGCAGCACCATCGTGTGGGAGCTCCAGCGCATGGTTTCCTTCTCCAACTAACACGCCGAGGACGCAAAGGCCGCGCCAGCCAGTAGCGCACTTCATCCCCTGAATCTCCTGCGTGTATCGTCGCTTGGTGAATGGCGTCCCCTTCTCCCGGCCCCGCACCTCCCCACGACTCTCCTCCCGTCAAAGCCTGGTCGGCGCGACATCACTCTATCCGTCCGTGCATTTCTCTCTCTCACTCTCGCTCTACTATTTCCTTCGATGAATTGTCTAGCATAAAAGGCCAGCGCGCGAGTAGGCATGGCGAAACTGCTCCACGCAGCGATATCGATGTCGTCGCCACCATGACGCGCGCCTCCAAGCAAATTTCCTTCCGCCACGCAACTGAGAGGATGTTCCATCTGTGTGTGGGGAGTGCCGCCTCTGTCGCACGCTCTCTGCGTGCGTCTCTGCTGAGATGTTCAGAAGCCCATATGCCGAGCCCTTCGAGGGCACCATGCTGCCCTGACGGTGCACGTGCAGCTCAAGCAGACGTGCCCGCTTGCGCACATCGCACAGCAAGGAAGCACCCACTGCGCTGGGCCCAGACCGCAAATTCCTGCTATTGCTGATTGTAGTGGGCAGCGTGGCAACCTAACTTTTTTTTTTCAATGTGACTGCGCCGTCGCTGGAGCGTCATGCGGTGAAAGCAGCCCGTAGCTCCCTGATGGCTGAACTCCTTCCGGCGCCGAAAGTGGTGGTGCGGCGACCGTCGTCGTGGTTGGCGGCCTCCTCATCGCCTTTTCCCCTTCTGCTGCCCTCCCGTCTGCCGCACCCGTTTCCTTTTTTCCTCGCTTCCCTCCTTCCTGTTTTTACTCCAGATAAGCTCTCTGCTACTAGCGCAGCTATTCTCAACAAACCGACACACACACACACTCTTACGCCATGCACCGTCGCCTCCGCGCCATGCCACTTCTTCCACTGGCGGTGCTGCTGCTCCTGCTGACGGTGCACCGCGCCGCCGGGTGCCTCGCCGCTGCGCACCGCTGCAACTTCGACGAGGCGATGCGGAAGAGCGGCCCGCTGCCGACGGCGGTGGTGCGTGAGGTGCCGCGCAGGGGAGAGGGCGCGGCACAGGCGTACACCGCCGCTGCCGCCACCGTAGGAGGAGGAAAGAGCAACGAGGGGTGGGCGCCGATCCGCATCGTGGTGTCAATGGAGGATCTGAAGGACCCAAGCAAGTACTGTGGCTCGAAGACAGAGCAACGTCCTAATTTTGAGGGTCTGTATCAACAGTGTTTCTCTGAAACAATTCTGACCGCAGACAAGAACAAAACCCTGGTTAACGAGGTTATTCCTGTGGCTGTCCAGCTGCACGCGGAGCGTCTGCTCGTTCAGCGCACCAAGGGTGAGTTGAGCGTGCCTCAATTTGTACAGGGCGGCAACTGCCAGTATTTCACTGTGCCCCAGAGTCACCACACGGTTGGTGTTTCTGATGCGGACGTGGTGCTCTACGTGGCTGCCGGTTCAGGTTCAACATCGTGGGCTGTTCCATGTGCTGTGGATGCGCATGGTCGTCCCGTAGCAGGTGTTTTGCATGTTTTTCTTTCGGATGTTGACTATGTAATGTCCGCTGCTCGTATCATCGCCCACGAGCTCGGTCACACCCTGGGGTTTGGCGTGGAAGAGATGAGGAACCACAACTTGTTGTTGAGCCTCCCCGATGTGCGGGGTAGCGCCAACCCTGCGATGGTCGTGAATTCTCCTGCTGCGTTAAAGGAAACGAGGAAGCACTACGGGTGTGACACCCTTCAGGGAATGGAGTTGCGTATGCAGGATGATGGAACCCCCAGTTCACACTGGTCGCAGCGCAACGCGAAGGACGAGTTGATGAGTCCGTATGATAGCTACAGTGGTGGCTACTACACCGCGCTGACGATGGCAATGTTTGAGGACCTCGGCTACTACAAGGCCGTCTGGGGGATGGAGGAGCCGATGGCGTGGGGCAACAACTCCGGCTGCGAATTCCTAGACAAGCAGTGCGCAGGCGACGTCCACGCCGCCTACCCCGACATGTTTTGCGAAGTTTCTGACAAATCGTTGCACTGTACATCCGATCGTCAAGCGCTCGGGAAGTGCGTTCGTAATGTTGGCAACGTCGCGGCGAACCCACCAGAGCGGTGTTCGGTTCTCTTTCCCACGATAGGCGATGACGGCAATTATGACGGCTACCGCACATGTATTCTGAAGGGTTCGGACGTCTTCCATGGGTCACTGTCTGGCGGCAACTCGTGGTGCCTCGATGGGGAATCACTCGAGGCTCAGGCCAATAAAGATGGTTCGTGGCAAACTGGCGTCGGCGCGGTGTGTGCGCAGGTGCTGTGTGGGTTCAACGAAGTGATGGTGAAGTACCTCGGCGGCAGTGATTTTGAGTTGTGTCCAGAGGGCGGGTTCCTCGAGCCCAAATCGCCTCAGTTTAAGGGCGGCAAGATCAAGTGCCCGAGGTACGAGGAGGTGTGCACCATCGCCGCCAACGGAAGTACGGTTGAAGTATCGCCGCCGCCAGGCAGTGGCGGCGATAGCGACGACAGTGACGGCGACGACGACTATTATTGCGAGGAATATTACGATTGGCCTGATGGCGCCTCGGCCGTCACTTGCACCATATCGCTTGTGTTAATTGCTGTGCTTCTTCTTGCCAAGGTGCTGGTGCTCTTTTAGCTGGTGGAGGTGGGAGAAACGTTTCCCGCTGACGCACCGCGAGAGCCATGACAGTGTGTCTCTTAAAGTTTGCAGCGTGGTGGCATCCCTGCCGAGTAATTGCTAGTGGCGGAATGTGTCCTGTGATTTTTCCTTGTTTCTTTTAGGTATGTTTGCGGCGGCATTATTCACTCCGTCCTTCTGATGCGCTTTTCGCCCTTGTGGTTTTTTTTTCGGTTTTACTTTTTCGGTTCCCACCCCATCAGTGGTGTGACTCACTGCTCTTCTGCCCATAGTTCGCCGTGCCACGGTTCACCCCTTCTCTCCCGGGGAGTTTGCAAAATATGTAAATTCCAGTTCTCCGGGGCGTCTTTTTATCGCCCTCCGTCTTTTTTTTTTTTTGGGGGGGGGGATGTGTATGTAGTGGTGGGGAATGCGTGGGGGATACTTGCCTGTGCTTTGCCTTTTGCTTTCATTTTGGTTTTATTGTGTTTCTTGGCAAACGTGGTGTTTGGAGCGGCGGAGGAGTCGCCGGCGTGGTCGTTCCCGCTGCGCGTTCTTCGCCGTGAGGGCCCCCGCCGGAAACGTGTGAAGGGGCGCGGCGTGTGGTGTCGACTGGCCGGTCACACTCCTCCCTGTTCTTCCTGCGTCTGTGTGCGGCGACGCGGCTGCTATGGTCTTGCGTTTTGCCGTTTCTGTGTTTTTTTTTCCCCCGCGGCTCTGTCCGCTGGCTTTTCCCCGGCTCGGTGCGTGTTGACCATTTCTCTTCTCTGTTTCTGGTTGCCTGCAGTCATATATTTGCGCTTGGCCACATACACGCACAAAGGGAAAGCGAGCGGCGAGGCGGCAGAGGGGTTTGTCCTCCAGCGGGTAGGAGGGGAGGTGCACACAATCATACACGTGGGCAGCGACGGTGGGGGGGGGGTTTGGGTATCGACAGAGACGAGGCGTGGAAACTAGCGAACGGGGAAGAGGGGGGGGGGAGGTTGCGGTCACTGAAGGCCGCGCCGTTTGCCCGTGGGAAGCGGGGCGTGCAATGAGTGTCTTTGTCATCCCGCACTCGGGCATGTACCATGGGAATTTTGAGTTCGCCGTGGTAATGAGCGGCAAGCAGCCGTCAAAGCTGAAGGTGTCGGTGTATGACGAGCAGCAGAAGCGCGTTGTCTACAGCACGAAGGACACGTGGCACTCCGGCAGAAAACTTGCGCTGCCACCCGGGGAGTACTGTGTGCGGGCGGAGTTGGTGGCGCCGCGCCTTGATGGGTCAAACCTTCTCCTCGACGCGGTTGAGATGCGCTACTCGGTTCTTCACAGCGACAGGGGGGCGTCGCCCTCGTCGACGCCGCTGTCGGGGCACATACTGCGGGATGAGTTGGCGTCGTCGGGCAGTCACCTGCGGCTGCGGAGCCCAATGTCGGCCGAAGACGCAGCGCCGGTCGCCGCGCGGGCGGATGTCGCGAATGGGGGGGAGTCGGCGAGTCGCTTTGGCTCATTTCCGCCGTCGCGGCGGAGCATGTCGGAGGTGAACGTCCGCGCCTCCTCCTTCGCGGGCAACAGCACTCGGGAGGAGGCGGCGGACGTGTGGCGCAGCTCCTCCCGCGCGACCCCCAACGCGGCGCTTCAGTGCCTGCGCGACCCCACACCGGCGCAGGCGCTCCAGGCCTTTTCCGAGGCGCCCTCAAGGCGGGCAACGCCGTTTGTCGCGAGAAACGCGCTGGGTGCGGCTGGCACGGCGAAGCAGCAGCAGCCGGCGTCGTCCTCCGCGGCGGAGGCGCGCCGGTCGCCCACCCCCCACCCGCTCGAGCCCCCGGCCGAAGAAGACACACACCCCACCGTCGGCGCAGACCCGCAGCACGCCACGTCGTGGCTGTGGAAGCTGTCCCCAACGCCAGTCAACGAGGCAAAGGCGGCGGCGGTGGCGAGAGCCTCGCCGGGGTCGGCTGATGCAGCGACCGCCGACGAGCAAATTTCCGGGGCGCGGACTGCCGATGGGGGTGCTCTTGTTGCGACACCGCCGCAGCAGCAGCAGCAGCAGCACTCGGGCGACCGCGCCGAACCCGCCCGGATGTCAACGCGGCCCTCTCCCCCCTCTGGAACCACCGCACGCCCCCGCCCCAGCGAAGTGGTGGGTGTTCGTCCCGCGAATCCGGAGATGCCGCAGGAGCGGTCGTGCGGCGCCGCCCATACAGTGCCTCTGTCGCACACCTTGACGCCAGACAACCTCCTGGGCAGAAAAACCCACCTCTCACATCGGGACTGGACGCCCCTCGTCGTGCGTGCTGAACTCGTCCGTGACAGGGAAGAAAAGAAGAGGAGCAACTCACCAGAGAGGCAGAGTGTCCAGAATCAGCAAAGCACTGCCCAACCTGTGATGCCGACTCCTCTGACTGGGTCCACAGTACGGCAGTTGAAATCTTCCACCGCCCTGGTGACAAGGGATAACAATGAGAGGTCGCCAAACCGGAGCAGTGCGCAAGTCCAAAGCCCGCGTCTGTCCTCTGGGAAACACGGCTCCAAGTTTGTTATTCCACCTCCTGACTTTATTGATGTGCATAAGCCATTTTGTCTGGCGCTTGCCTTTGGTGCTGCAAATGCAGAACCAAAGACAGACGCCGTTTTTCTCCATGTGCTTCTGGAGGCGGAGGTGGAAGCTGGAGTTAAACCGCAGGAGCCTGTGGTTTGCGTGACCCCCGCCACCTTTGCCGCAATCCCAACCCGGGCACAAGGCATCAACTACCACTGGGTGTGTTCGCCGTCGATACGTGCAAATGAGCGAAGTGGCCTGATGGATATGCTGGGCGACGTGACAGGGAAGGCACACACTGCCGTAGCCATCTCCACGGCGTGCGTGGGTCCTTCCTGCGACGGCCAAACGCTCTCTGGTCTCCAGTTCGTGCTCGACAGCCTTGACGGGGAGACCTCGTCGTGTCAGTTTTTCGTGTCCTTCCGCGAAGTTGAGGAAATGAGCAACGAGGACGAGGCAGCCGCCGTACAGGATGGTATTCTCACCGACAACAGCGACGCTGCGACCCCCGCCACTGGGCGGGACAGAAACCGGCAACCACCGACGCTGGACGAACGCGCCCTGGGCGCCGAGTTTATATACAACTCGCTGCCCTGCATTCGCTGCGTCGTCGACGGGGGTGGTGAAATGGCACTTGAGGTTCACCGCAAGAACGTTGTGGTGGCGCGTGAACCCGTTTATAATGGGTCCCGTGTCGCCATGTACTTTGGAACCACCACAGCAAAAGTTTCTGCCGCCACCAGTGGAGATGGTGACAGTGCCGGCGCTGGGGAACAGCAGCCGTATCTTTCTATTCTTGTGGATTATCGAACCGTGTTCTGCTACGTCATTCGTTCCGAGCGGGGGCTTGACGCCCTCCGCGTCATCATGATGAGCCGCGTGGAGTCATCGTCGATGGTGGAGAGTGGCGCGGGCGCGCGCATGCGGCTACGGGAGCTGGAGCTCTTGTCGCACCAACGCCGGCTTGTGGCCTTCGCTGACGAGGTGCGGCTGGACGACGCCAAGGCAAGCCAACTAAGCAACGGCAGTCGACGAGGACAATACGAAGAAGGAGGAGGGACAAATCAACCTTGGGTTGGAGCGCCTTGCTTACTGTCAGCGTGGGTTGCCGGGGAGAGCCCCGGCATGTGCGCCTGGCGGCGTGTGACACTTGTTTGATGTATCGTGGGTATACTTTTGTTTGGTTTTCCTCTCTGTGGTGAGGTGCGCCTCACGGCCGCTTCCACGGCGGGGACCGCCAGCTGAAGAAAGGGGGGGGGGGAAGAAAAAAAACGAAAAAAAAAGTACACAGCGAAAGTGAAAGTAGGAGGTAGCCGCGTTTTTGTAGATAAACGGCGGTGCGCCGGCACCGACGGTGGGCAGGAATATCGTGGGGAATGCAAGCGGGTCTTGTCCCCCTCCAATGGCACTCAGGACCGGGTACGGGGGCATACGTGAGTGCCTTGACGGCAGTTTCCTCTTTATGTTTCTAGCATATCTAATCTTGTTTTCTTTTCCCTTCCATATATATATATATATATATTTTGTTTTTGCATCGTTGTTTTTACTGTTGTATTTTTCTTTTCTTTTTTTGTTGGGCCTCTTTATTCGCTTCTTCTAGTATCTTTTTTATTTTTTGAAGGTTGGTTTCTGTCGTGTGTGTGTGTGTGTGTGTGTGTGTGTTTTCCTCTGGCGGAAGCCGCGGCAAAGAAGCAATGAAGACGAGAGGAAACTAAAAAGAGAGAGAGAAAGAGAGAGAAAGAGAGGTGGAGCAGCGCACACGCGCTTCGCGCCGTCGGTGTTGCGGCATCACTTCTTCGTTCATTCGCCTCATTTGTTTTGTATTTTGTTGTTTGTTTTTTTTTCTGCCTCGGGCCGCTGCTACTTTTTGTTTGCCTTTTGGCTTTGTGTGCCGTGTGCCTTGCCGTTGCCGTTGCTTGTGGGGCGTGTTTGCCGGGCCACGCGCCCTGCGACCGCCGCCGCCGCCGCCGCCGCACGGTTTTCTACTCCCTCCTCTTCTTCCGCCCCCCACCGCGCCTGTTTTGTGGCTCGACGGCCCCACAGTTTTAGCACGCACCCGCCCGCGGGCCCGTTACGGAGGAGCAGCGAGCGCAGCGAGAAGACACGCAGGGAAGAGTGCGACAGAGCAGCGGAGGGGGAAGAAAAAAAAAAAAGCGACGTACGGCGGCGGAGAGAGGCGCGCGGAAAGGGACGTAGCTGGGGCGAAGGATGCTGGCAAACCTGGGGCTGGAAAGTGAGAACCGCGGGGGTGGATGCCGCCACCGCGGCCGGCGACATGCCCCTCGCGACGAGATACTCGACCACCAGGCACCGTACCTGACGGCTCCATTTGCGGTGCAGCAGGAACCGTCGAAGAACCCGCATCCCTCGGCGGCGCCGGACACGCAGGAGATATTCATGGACGAGGAAAACGACCTGGGGCCCTCTGCGGCCGCCTACCACGCCCCACAGCCGCGGCTGGCGACGGAGCGGCTCGCCAAGGGGGGGCTGAACATCTTTTCTTGGAACACAGACGCCCCAACGGTTCCTCCTTGTCGTGTCCGACGGGAGCGCAATGCAGAAGAGTTGCTGCGACTCAAGCCACTGGACCCTGAGACGCAGCGGGACCTTGAGGTCCGTGAAAAGTTTGAAGGCAACAAGCAAAGCCACTTTTTGTGCTTCAGCGAAAACGAGGATGCTGGCAAGCGCCTGGGGGCACGACGGACGGACAGCGGTATCCCATCGCAGCTGCCGCCTGTCTTTGCTCCGGCGCCAAATGGGCTTTCCAGTAACCCCAGTCACGCGGGTGCCGCGGTGCAGCACGGCCGAAGGCGCTTCGCCCCAAGCGCGGGCACCAGCGACGGAATTGCTGGATTCGCCGGCATGGGCATGGGCACGGACGGCGGCGGCAGCAGCAGCAGGAGGGCATGCAACCCTGCGAACCATGGCCCCGTCGGTTTCTGACCGCAACCCGTCAGCAGAGCACAGGAAATTACCAGATAGAAAATAAAGTAAAAGGTGGTTATTGGTTTATATAATTAAGAGAAGTGGGGCCTGTCCGCGATGATGGGGAGGAGAATGTATTTAGATCAAAAGAAGAAGAAAAAAAAAAGAGGAATGAAAAGCTTCAAACACCTTTATAGAGCGGACAAAAGGGTCCTTTGTTGTTTTGGGTGGAGGCGTGGGTAAGTGTGCCGAAGAGTGCGTGCATGCCCGCTTTCTTTTCATTTCTGTTTTTTTTTCTTTTGCTTGTTTTCATCTGTTTCCTCTTGCCTCTCTTTATCTCTCTGCGGGCATACATGCATGTATATATGCGTATACATACATGTTATTAGACCGATGGGCGGCGGCGATCCGACGACGATGCGGCGTGGTTTCGTTGCGCAAATACGCGAGAGAAAAAGAAGGGGAAGGAAAGAAAAATAAGACGATCAAAAAAAAAGCAAGAAAAAGAAAACTTTTCTTCCGTCTCTTATGCGGTGCTGCCCCGCCGCAAGCGAAAGGAGTAGGAGGGAGCAGGAGAGAACAACGTGGGCGGGGGAGGGTGGTCAAATAGGGGCATTCTGCACCACAACCTTTCACGCAAAGCGAGAGATGTTTTGTTTGGGGTCATGTGCAAACCCGGTGTTGTTTGGTGCGTGTGGGGGAACCGCGACGCGGGCCGGTTACGAAGGAGACGCCTGCCACAGGAAAAGGAAACGTGCTATGTACACACGAAGCTGAGCGGAAGGAAGAGAGGGAAAAAGAAGGGAGAAAATGCTAGACGTACGAGGGCGTGCCGGGGAAGCTCCGCTGGTGAGCAGTGAAGAGAATGAAGAAGGCAATGATTGACTGCAGAAATGGGGAGGCCTGCCGCAAGAAATGAATGCCCTTTTACAGTTATGCTCCGATTATTATTATTTTTTTTTGTTCGGACCATTTTATTGCTGTTGCCTTTGCGGATGAGGACGTACGAGAGGAATTAGATGTATTTCTGTGTGCCAGTTGGAAGCAACCAGCAATGCCGTCCCCTCCCAAAGTTGTCCTTCACTACGGGTCGCTGCGAAGGGCAAGTTGTTGGAATTCCCACATCCAGCACTCATTTCGCGCCACGCCGCGCGGGAGGCGGGTGAAGGGCGATTTCAGCGACCTCCTCCGTTGTGCCATTACCGAATGGTCGTGGCGAGCCAGGAGTCGCCTTGGGCCCGCCACCTCTGGGCGACAGGGCTGCGATACACAGTGCGGCCACAAAGAGAGCGGAGCGCAACGTCATTTCCTTTCCGCTCCGCATCTTTTTTGCAGTAAAAATGCAGGGCGTAGAGTCTTCCCGGAGTGGGTGTAGCCTTCTTTAAATGCGATGTTTTCATTGTTTCTTTTGCACTCCTGTTAGCTGCGCACACTTGTTATTCCGCTGTTGGTTCTTGCATGGCTTCTGTTCGGTAGTGTGGAGCTTTGCCTTCTGTGCCTGGCCGCGTTTGAACCGCTTACTTGGCGCGGACCAATGAAGGAACCCTTCCGCTTTTTTCTTCCCCCCCCCCTTCCCCACCCTCTCGAACTGACGCATTTTTATTTTATTTTTATTTTTTATTTTCTTTTTTTCTCGGTGCTGGGAGTGGGGGGATGCTCCCGTTACTTTGGCCGTTGGTGTTTAGCGACGAATAACTATCGCCTCCGCTTTTTTTTTTGGTGGACAGTTACTTTTCCCGGCCATAACCCCCTCCTCCCATCCTCGTTTTGCATGCGAGCACACGGTGTGCCTGGGCAATTAGCAGGCGTCGGCTGGCGGCGCTCACTCCTTCTTTTTATGTTTTGTTGCTTTCTTTGTGCGTTTGTGTGCTTTGCCGCGTTGAATTTTCTTTCCTTCTTTCTTGCCCTCTCTCTCTCCACGACTTCCCCTCCGGGGGGGGGGGGGGAGAAGAGCTCTGGGAGCGGGTGTGGGCGGGGACAGATAGACGGGGGCAGAGAGCGAGGGAGAACGCGCACGGGCGCGCAGGTTTTGACTGCGTGCGGTAAAGGGCACGCATGCTGCAATGGCGCGTGCGCCACTTTCCACCCCGCGTTGAGTGGCTGCTCAGTGGCCTCGGCCGGCAGGCCGGGAGAGGGCCGGCGGCACCCAGCCAGCTGTGGTGCTCGCGGCGGAAGTGCGCGGGCCATGCATCACAGTTTGTCACAGAGGCCACGCTCCGCAGCGGCACCCGTGGCAATCGCCACCACTGCCTCAACAGTAACCAGACTACCTCTGCTGCTGCTCCTAATTTCACTTCCATGCGTGAGGCAGGGAAACTCTCGGCACCGCTCCTGAAGCCAGAAGCGGCGGAGACAAGTACCTCCTCGAGTGCTTGGGACTTGCGGCAGCTGCTTTTTGGCCTCCATGATTTTCGAACGGGAGTTGTGACGTACGTGGAGGCGGAGGAGCGCCTGCGCGGCATGCAATTGCTGGAGGAGTGGATGATCCAAAAACTGTTTGTAGAGAGCGGCTGGGTGCGTCAGCTGCAGGACAGCGCCGAGACGGCACCACAGTACCGCGGTGTCGTGGGCGAGCAAAAGATCCTGCGCTACATGCTGCACCGCTTTCTTTCTGATGAAACCATCTGGCGGGACGATCTTCTTAGCTTGTTAGAGCTCCTTCTTGGTGTCGTGGATCAGTGCACGTGCTGCCCACCCCGGAGGGATGCGTCGCAGCACACCGCAGCGCAGCCCGGCCTCATGTCAGGAGATAATTCTGTCTGCGGTGATAACAACGATAACATTCTGGGCGTGTTCCCGCTGAGCATCCCGGGCTCTCTCCTCATGGGACCAGAAAAGATGAACTTCTACTCATATGGTTTGCAGAATATTCTCTGGGACTTCCTGCACCTAGAGGCGTCTTCGTTCGGTGGCACCTCTGCACTCTGGCTTGCCTTTGTGGCCTCCCACCGCAACCTGCTCTCGCTGCCTTCCCCGCAGCGCCCGCCATTCAGTCGGTACGAGTGTCATCCTGGGCTTTTAGGTGTGGAGTTTGTCGAAGCGCCGCACGCTGCGCAGCCTGGGAAAACCATGCAGGATTTGAGTTCAGTGGCGGGCGGGGCTGCACCTCACGAGGCTGAGGCGTGCAGATTGCAGGACGACGAGCAGGCGGCTGCGGCGTCGAACGACAGCGAGGCTGGCGAGACAGCAACGACGCCGATGACGATGGACGATGAGCGTGGGAAATCGTATCTGCGTGACAGGTTCTACATGAACGTGATAGAGCCGGGCGAGGTGTCATTTCCCGTGAGCAGCACCCCGCCGGGCGCCCTGCAGGCCTCTTGGCGAGGGGAGCGCGAGCTGCTTAACCCCGTGAACGGGGAGGTGGAGGATGTCCACCTCACGCACCTCTGGAGCATCTTCCAGGCGCTGAGGCTGGAGGACAGCATCGATATGTACCGTGCCGTGCGCCATGGGGATCTGGAGAAGTTACAGGGAGAGGTGTTCATGGACGTGCTCGCACGAAAGGGGCTTTTAATGCTCTTTTTCGCCCGTGACGAGGTAAGGGCAGTGACCCCGCCGCCCACGACGTTTCATCGACTCAGGCGGCTGCATCAAGAGCTAGGCGCACTGGTCTCATGGCCCTCCACGCATAACTACCGCGTGCCTCCACCACCAGCAGCACCATCGTTTGACCAACTCGCCCTCCCCTCTCAGCTCTCCTTCAGCTGCTTCGCCCAACTCCATGCCCCCGTACAACGAGATCTGTACCGATGTGCCACTCCCAGTGCGTCTCCGGCACAGTTATACGACCGCTACCGCGAGAGTTACCTGCGGTTTGCCGTGCAGCCAGCAGCTCATTTAAAGGAAGGCCATAACGAAGATGCGGGTAAACCCCTTTTGGGTGAGAGCTCTGCAGTGTTAGGCCAGTGTAAATTTCCGGCATTTGAATGTCTTAGCCAACTCCAGCAGATGGCGTTTCAGTATCCCTTCCAGGATGCGGCGCCGTATTCCGCTCCACAACAAAGCATAGACGGCAATTGTACCAATGATGAAATACTAGGTAACGCAGCAATTCAACAATACAATACGACAGAACTCATCCTGCCCGAGCTGAGTGAGGAGTCTCTTCCTCCAGTCCGGCGGCGCGGGCGGCCGAGAAAGGCGGCGCCGGCGGAGCCCGAGGCGCTTGAGGAGTCCACCTCTGCAGCCGGGCAGCGCGAAGAGTGGGCGGGTTCCGAGGAGCCAGCGGAACCTGAGTCGCCTGCGGAGACTCTTTCTCCAGTCCGGCGGCGCGGGCGGCCGAGAAAGGCGGCGCCGGCGGAGCCCGAGGCGCTTGGAGGAGTCCACCTCTGCAGGCCGGGCAGCGCGAAGAGTGGACGGGTTCCGAGG